TGCAAAACATTAGGGGAACTAATTCTGCTAAGTGAGGGCAATAACTCATGACTCTACACTAGATGAAGAGCTCGCATAGTATAGATCTGACTCACTGCCTTGATTACCTGCTGCGGCATTACATGAACATTCCTTAATAAAAACGAAACAGAGCATAAATCATAGCAAAGGGTTCCCTACTGCTCGTTCACACGCACAAGCACATTTTATGGGCCTACCCGGACAACACTGAAGTCCAATTTGGCCTCCTGAGCACACTGCAGTATTAGCTGGAAGCAAGACTTGCTCTGATTGGTCATCCCATTCTCATAGTAACGTTCCAGGATCCTCTGCTGCTCAGCCGTAAATACTGACCGCAGGTTCATCTTAGGGGAAAAGGAAAGATAATTACTACTACTAAGTCCCAGCTCGCGGAAATTTTAATTATTTAATTATGGAATTTTCTTTCTTTGGCTAAAACCAACAGAAACTCTTGATGTACTCACCGTCTGCAGGCCACGCCTTTGTGGCCACGCATCCATTCTACTGCTGGAGGGGAACGGGGCAGCCATGCAGATCAAAGCGAAACCTCCGTATTTCTACATTTGCACTATTTTGTTTGTGCCCATTTTGTCTCAGTGTACCCGACGTGCCGCTGGGTAGTGTGGCTGAGGAGAAAGCAAAGCAGACAACACCTTCTTGCAAAGTGTAAACAAAGAGTATAAATAGTAAAAGAAAAGGAAAAAAAAACATTACTCCATTTAGCAGTGTGGATTGACAAAAAAAGCCCCAGAAATGAAATCACTTTTATCACACACACCTATATACGTAACAAAAAAGTCTTGAGCCACCACTCGTTTCTTTATATTTTGCTCGGAAAATAGGAAATAAGTGCAGTGATTAACTGAAACACATATGGTTCACCTTATATAACTATATAAATACAGTATATAAGGCAAAGACAGAGGTACAGCTTTAAAGCCAATACTTGGTGCAACCACCTTCATTATTCAGCACAGCCTGGACTCCCTGAGCCAAACTTTCTTGTCATTTCTTCAGGTAGTCTTAAGGAATAGTTTTCCAGGCTTCCTGAAGGGCATTCAAACCTATTCTTTGCTTGTTGGCTGCTTTTTGTTCTGTTCTGTCAAGACCATCCCACAGTGCTCTAATAATGTTGAGGTCTGGGCTCTGGGGAGGACAATCCATGACTGATAGTGTTTTTCTATCCAGGTATGCTTTTATCGCATTGGCAGTTTGTTTTGGGATCATTGCCATACTGAAAAATGAAGCTGTTGACAGTCAGACAGCTTCCATGCATGACAACACCACCAACTGAAATGCAGCACCAAACCATGACAGAGCCTCCATTGTATTTTACAGATGGCTATAAATCCTCGCTGTCATACCTCTCTCTCATAACTGAACCAGAAATTTCAAATTTGGATTTGGCACTCCATCAGACCTGTTGCCACTGATTTTCAGTCCAGTTCTTGCTCTCCCTCTTTCTCCTTGTTTTCCTTCCTTACCTACGACTGAGACCATTTCTAATGAGGCTTCTCTGAACAACAGATGATTCAGCTGAAGGTCAGATGCATTTCACAGGTCCTGTGTTAGGCTTTTTCATCATTTTTTTCAACCTCTACTTGTCCAATTTCCTCACATTTGTTTTTGTTTTTTGGATACACTGCACACCACACCAAGATATGCCAAGTTGTCAACTAACCTCTCGTTAGCAATCACCTGTCAAACTCTGTTATGTTTGGGATTTTTTTGTGAATTAAATTAAAGAAATGACAACAAATTATGTGATTCTGCAACAGACTGCTAGTAACAAATAACATTTTAACAATTTAAAAACAGTTCTTTGCTAAATTGTTATGTGTAGATATGAAACCGGTTCATCCATTGAGTTAAGAGCCTTTTTTATGCTTGAATGAGTCATAGTCAAGTGGTTTAAACAACCAAACAAACAAACAAAAACAGCATCTCTCTGAAAATGCTCAGGTGCACCAACTGGATTGGAAAAGAGTGAAAAAAATAAACAATTTCAAAAGAAAAACATTGAAAATCTTGCAGAACTATTTCTCGGATAACTGCAAAATTAAAAGACAGTCTGGCTCCTTGAAAGCAGAATGCAAAGGAAAGAGGGCACAGGGCATAAAAGTTATAATAGTCCAGTACTATAATAGCATAACAGTACTCAGTCATTTGAGCAGCTGCGTAATTTTAGTGCAGTTAAAATACTCAAAATACTAATCAAAACAAGTACTTGTTTTGTCAAATGAAAACCACTAAGAGTACTTTAATAAATCCAAAATTCATAATTACATACTTATAAATGATAACGTTATGCCTGACTTTTGGCAAAAACAAAACAAATGGTCCTGTTGAAACTCCTGGTAATTGTTAGAGCCATTCAGCCTTCAATTTAATTGTACACACCGTCATGAGTAATGAAGTGGCACACAGGTAACCTTGTCCATTTGTTACAAACTGATTTATTAACATGGCTGAGTTAAATGTGAGACTTTTAAATGTGTGCAAGTTTCGTAGCAGTGCTGTCCTGCGTTAGGACGGGGTCGTGAGGAAGAAAACAGCGGTAGCCAAATTAGCGTAAAAAAAACCCACGCGGACTTTCACAGAGCTGGGAAAACAAAGGCGAACAAGTTTTAAAGCAGAGCTGGGAAATGTTTTGTTTGAAACAAAAGTCACATACGGGAATGTTGTGCGACCAATAAGCAGGCGGCAGGTTTATTTTGAAAGGCTGACTGCGCATGGCTACAGTCAATATGGAAACATTAAGGAGAGAATTAGCAAACAAATTGTGGGCACGTCAGGAAACGGCGGATTCCGGCGCGGATTTACCGCACGGGAGGCTCGTGCCATAACTTTACGGTCGAAAACCCGCACAGTAAACTGACCGGGTAAGAACCGCTTTGTCACAATGGCAACACAGACAGCCTACGTTAGCTTGCAGGCCCGAGCGGCCATGTCTGAGCCAGCCAACGTTAGCTAGCATTAGCATAGCTCTCCCAATGGATAGCTGCAGCTAAACTTTTCCTTCAAATCTGTGATTTCCCGACCGCGGCAGGATCATTCTCACTGACCCTGGCTTCGAGCGGATGCCAGGCTACAAAGCGTTCTGGGGTACCCTGAAGCAAAAAGGAAAAATCACGTCCCTACATACCATTTTTGATGTTAAAATCAGACGAACGCTCAAATTCAGCAGATTTCTTCACCAGTCCCCTTTGCTAGACAATGAAATCAGAACGTCCGATCATCAATTCTAATCATGATTGTGACGTATTTGCAGACAGGAGCCAATGGGAGCTCGAGATCATCGCTGTCACGTTCGGAACAGGCTGAAAACTGAGCACCGTAGTCCCGCCCACCATTGACTTTGTTCACAGGACTGCTGGAAGGAGGAGGTCACAGACATGGAAGCAGTGGAAAGTTTGGGTGGGGAATGCCTCGTTTTCTCTTCACCTGGATATCTCTTACTTAAACTGCCCTCTACAGCACTGCACAAGGAGGAACTGTTTCACTACAGGCTGCAAAAAAATAACACAACAACCCCCCCACGCACACTTTGTTTGATTGCAGATGTGTTTAGAGTTCTGGCTAAGGTCTTCATGAGTTATTATACGTTTCGCTGAATATTAGAATTTGCTTTTGGAGATGTAAAATCTACACTTATAAAACTTTAAGATGGTGTAAATATGCACATATGTTTTCATTATATGAATTTGTTATGATAATGAAGATACAAAACATATATATGTGAACTGAATTACTGTTTATAGTAATAAAGTTTAAGCACCTCATCTAACATAAGTTTGGATGCACTCTCAGCAAGGTCCACAACGTAGCTGATTTTCAGTACCTGTTACAGCCAAGGAGTTTATAGGTAACACTAACAATCAACACGGAGACTCGGTGCTATAAAAAAATAGGTGCTGATTTCTATTCAATTACCATTTTTGGACATAAACGAATCACAGCAGCAGTCACCTCAAGGTGCTTTTATTGTAAGATACCTCTATAATAGAGATTTTTCTGTATGAGAAACTGATATTTGATGTTTGTTTTACTTTGAATCTATGACAATGAAACAAAGACTTGCCTGTCAATTGCAAATATTATAAAACAATAATTGAATCTCGTTTTAATTTAGATGACTTCTAGAGTCATTATTAATATAAACTGCCACTAAGAAGGGTCACGTAAGCACTTTGTACTGTTGCTAATTTTTTTTAATTCTGCCGAATTAATTAATTAATTCTCTCAATAAAGATGTCTCTCATTCCTAAACGATGACCTGAAACGGTATCTATCGTGAGTGGAAGTTGGTGGTGTGGATGTGTGTGGAAGCGGGCGCTGCTGTAATCCATGACGTCACCTGGTTCCCAGGTACGCAGCAGGGGGCGCTGTTCCTCCCAGCTAGGGTCCACACAGCGAGCAGCAACGCCTGACAAAGTTGATGCTGATTTCCTCACAGACTGAACTTTAAAAAAAGGAGGAGGAGAAGAAGAAAAATCTTACACCTGCTTGCCATGTGATGCGGCACGAGCTGCTGACGCGCAGACGTGGTATTGCAAAGCAGCGCTGACGAATTCTTTCTTTGCTGGGAAGAAAAAAAAACATAATTAATGATCATTTCTGAAAATTTCCACAAGTGCCCTACTTATACCGTCTCTTGTATTCAGTAGAACCTACTGCATTTCATATATTATTTATCAGGGTGTTGCTGCTACATAGTCTGCTGTTTATTTACTGTTTGCATTACCCCAACCCCCAGACACCCCTCCCACATTGTGTATATGTACATGTGTATGTAAGGCAAGGAGGGAGGGAGACCGAGAGAGATCCTCCCTATATGGTGTGCGTTGCACCATTCCCTGGTCTGTATTATGAGTGGTGGCCCTAGTGATGCTGCAGCGAGGCGGGCTGGAGGGGGAAAAAAGAGGAGAGGAGAAGGAAGGGAGGGGAGGGGTCGCTCCATCCCCTGTGCGCCCACCGAATCCACTTCTCACAGAGCGCGGGGCTGCTGGCTGGCGGGAAGGCACGAGAAAGAGAGCGAGAGAGTGAGAGAGCGAGGGAACGAGAGGAGGGAGGGAGAGGGAGAAGCGAAGAGAGAAGAGGAGAAAAGCGTGTGTGTGCGTGTCCGTGTGTGCGCGTGTGGATTGCACCACCGCATCCAGTTCACCGTTTTCTGCAGGCGGCCATGCTCCGATGGAGAGAATAAACCCGACCACGTCTGGTTTCCCCACAGATTTAGCCACTCCGCTCCGTGTTTCCAGATGTGACTGACAAGTCGTTTTATGTCGCCCGCATTGAGCTGTGCGCCGTTCATCTCGGATAGACTGTGACACCATGGCTTTGGTTATGGAACCTATAAGTAAATGGACACCAAAGCAGGTGCTGGACTGGATGAAAGGTAATGTTGGATACCCCACCACCATCCCCCCCATCCCCCTTTTCTCTTTCTTTTTTTCTCCCTGTTGCACCATGCTCTAACGTTTTCATGCTGCTTGTGGTTAGACCGACGATAACGATAATGATGATGAGGATGGTGATGATGATGGTGGTGGTGATGAGTAGCAGAGGGCCACGCTCTGTGCATGTGTGTTCTCCTTGTCCAAACCTGTACCCTGCGCCAGACCACTCGGAGACTGATTAAAGTCACTAAAGTGGACCGAAATGCGTTCGAGCATGGATTCCCCCCCCATTAAGAAGCGGGGACTTCAGGCTTCTGTCATCTGGCTTGCTTGAGAGCGCATCTCCTGCAAGCCCAGCCATATATGGCAGCGGCGGCGGCATCTCTCTCATCAATGAATGCTGAAGATATGTCATCTCCGCTCACTGGCACATGCCCTTATCAAACCCATGTCACCTCTCGCCGTGCATGTGTGCGCGTGCCAACCGTGCGTGTGTGATTAATGTAGTTAGCTGCATGCACCCCCCCGCCCCCGCCCCCTCCAGTGGCTCACGCCAGCCCGTTTCAGCACCGTGGACAGCGCAATGCCGCCTGCCATATAAGGCAAACGCAGCGATCACACTCGCTTTTTTTTTTTTTTTTTTTGCTTTTTTCCCCCTGCTGCTCGCTTTGCTGGCACGAGTTAAGTCCCTTCAAAGCGACAGTATGAATGAGTAATCCCTAATCGTGCGTGTGTGTGTGTGTGTGTGTGTGTGTGTGTGTGTGTGTGTGTGTGTGTGTGTGTGTGTTTGGTGGCGGTGGTAGGTGGTGTTCTCACACACATGGTCATCTACAGAAGCTGTGAGAGAAACTGTGGTAGGCCTATTGACAGACAATAGAAATGGAAAGGGAGGGTGTCCGCAACCCCTTACTTAAGAGGATGACTTAATCGCTCCTTGTTTGATGACTCAGACTGTTACAGGAGTGTAACAGATACTTTGCGAGTGTGTGTTTGAATTATATATGCAGTGGCCAGGTTCGGTATTTAATGTAGAGATGTGCTCGATCCCCAAGTCCCTGTGTGGCTTTTTGGGACCACTACTTTCCTCGTGTGACGGCCAAGCGGTGATCTCTTGGGTTGGAGAGTCAAGGTATAGCCAACACACCATCTGAGTACGCGGAAAGGGATTATTTTGGGATGCGTTACATTAAAGTGATTACGACGTTGTTCCAGGTTTTTATGCTCCCCTCTACCTCTACCTCTCTCTTTCTCCTCGGCCTCAGCCAGTGGAGCTCCAGCTTCATGCTCTGATCCGTGGAGTGCTCATTCGGCACTGCATATTAAGAGAGGCTGAGCGGATTTCTTTTAATGTTTTTGTTTGTTTGTTTGTTTGTTTTATGTGAGATTACATGGGGGCAGGCCAAATCGTGAATAGATATCGCAACTTGGAGAACAGAAACAGAACACAAAATAAAAAGAAACATTTGCTCACAAGATGTCGAGAAGCAAGTGATCAGAGCTTTTACCCCCTTTTACAGAGCCAGTGCCAACAAAAAAGTGATGTCCACCTTATTTGCAGTTTCTCCAGTGTAAACAAACCCTCTCTCCACATGTAGCCCAGGTTCCATTTGATCAGCAAGAAAAAACCCCTGAAAAACAGAACATAACTGTTGAGCTGGTGGGTCTAATTTCCACTGTCATGTTGTGATCGTCATTAAGCCATCGCATCCCACTGCAGTTTAAAAGCTCTCAGTGTGGAAAAGAAAAAAACGAGGAAAGAAACTCAGTGCCACGATTCAAATCCACCTGCTCGATAATGAGTACAAATGATCATGCTTCACGATTTTTCACGTTTTGTTACATGCAAATCCTAGATGTCTTAAAGCACTGTTTATAAAAAAACAACAACTTTATGTTCAGTGAAGGACAAGCAAAGAAATATGTCCACATTTGCATCCAACCCTTTGAAGGAGAACTGTTTCATCTTGGTCACATAAAACAAGCCACATCCCGGCCTCTTTCACATGAAGCTCGGAGGCTCGTTTTCATAGATGTTTGCCAGCATCTCACAGTGTCATCCCTGTTCCTGTGAAGCTCCTTCCCCCTTGTTTTTTTCCCCTGCAGGGATTTATAACAGACCAGTGGAAGGCATCTTATTTTCGCGTGAACAAAGTAAAATGTGAAAAGCTAGTGCTAATCTGTCCGTTTATGTGGGTTCCAATTTGGCCTCTTTGCTGGGGAGCACCCCGTCTCTCTCACGCCGATCTAAGTACTCTTGTACCATTTTAGCAGAGCAGTGACTCTGAGACCTTCTCTTAAGAAGAAGTACTTCAGCAACCCCCCCTTTGCTTTTGCAAACACTTAGCAAACACGTGGGTGCCGACAACAAACATTAAGATAAACTGATATTTTCCCCGCATGAAGAAGCCAAAATTATCTCCCTTTTTCATGGTGTAAATGCTGTGCCTGTAAAATGTGTTTACTGTCATTTGATGAAAGAGAGAAATAACAAACACATTCAAACATGTTATGAACCAGTGCAAGAATCGTGCAAAAGTCTGAAAACTATTGAAAGAAAAGTCAGTAAAAAAAAAAGAAAAAAAAAAGAATAATATCCATGACTTCGAATATTTTGTCAGCTGTGTGAGTGTGCAAAAAGCAGCCAGAAGCTGTAGCTCTTGGAACAAAATGAGCCATTTAAGTGATCCGTGAGCGTGGGTGATGATTTGGGCATCAATCAGCGGATACCCGTCTACATTTTTGGGAATCCATCCCTTACCAGCACAACAACAACCACACAAGCTCTGCTCTTCTGTGTGGGACGGCGTCTTCTTCTTTTCCTTTTCCTCCACAGCCCTTTCCTTTTATATGAACGGAAACACGATATTCTGCAGCCCCAGCCAGAAAACCTGACACAGCTATAGCAGACCATACTGTATCTCCCGCTGCTGTAGAAGGACTACTCCAGCGGCAGAACACTGGCGAGCCTCACAGAAAGATGACTCATCAGCATTTGTTTTGATTTTAAACACCCACACCGGAGGACTTTCCTCTATGTATGTGCGCGTGTGAGCGCATGATGCATCTCCAAGGGTGTGTGCAGACGCAGTGGATGCGTTAAGCGTGGCGCGCTCCAATCTGGGCTTGTTTCTGAGTCCTCTTTCAGCCACACGGTATCGGCAGCTTGCTGATGCATACATTGACAGGAAAATGAATGAATAAGGCAGCTCACTTTTCCTGCAGTAATCCCTCTTACCTCTCCGCGTGCGCTAATGTATTGGAACAATCTCGATGTAAATGGTGGGGTGTCACATTTGATTCAGCGCGAGGCTGCTTTGGGTGACTATAGACTGTAGTCTGTGTTCAGATGGAGGGAAGATTCCAGCTCACTAATGTGTAGTAGTGTGATCTTATTAAAGAGCTCCTCTCAATGTTATGTGGTAGATTAAGTCTCCTGGAGTGTTAAGGACCATGTTTAGCATCATTCCATACTGTGCCTTCTGATTGCGTCTCCCGCTGGTATGGTAAGGAAGTCTGTGTTGCAGAACACTTCCCCCCGGCTCTGACTGTGTGCTTGTCGTAGTTTCAGCTGCATTAAAGATTGAAGAGTGTGCCTTATTATGGGGCGGGGGGGGGGGACACACACGCGAAAACTCCTCGTGTCCTCTATTATTCACAAAAGAAATGCTGAGGTGAAAGCGTCACGTATGGGCACCGATGCTGCGAAGCATAGGATAGGATAGATAGATATGCGCGCACGCTGACACGGGCATGGATACAAAAACTCTGGAGCAGCAGCTTTAAAGTGGGGCATCCGTAGTCATGGAAACCAGATCTGATCATGTTGGGAGTCACGGCACATGTCATAAGATGGGGAAGCAGCAACACGCACACGCAGATGCCCAGCGCACATCCAGACTCGTGTAGACCCATGCCGCATATTCACATGTTTCCCCTCCGCCTGCTTCATTGCCTCGAGTTAGGGACAGATAGAGAGAAGAGACCGCGGGGACATGAATTCAGAGATCGGGAGGCCCAAAGCGAAATGAAAGAAAGGCTGAGGAGCCTAAGATGGGGGAGGAAATGAGGGTGCGTGAAAAGGGAATGCTGGGCATGATGGCGAAAGGGAGAAGCGGTTTCAGAGCGGGGTGTAGAATAGGGGATGCAGTGGGCATCATATCAAAGCACCCGGTCTATCCGGCTGCTCGGACAGAGGGGCCTGTGTGTGTGTGTGTGTGTGTGTGTGTGTGTGTGTGTGTGTGTGTGTGTGTGTGTGTGTGTGTGTGTGTTCACATGTCCGTTACTGGATTGTTTTTGCACCTGTTGTTCCGGGGCTGCCGTTTTACGGCCAAACATGTTAGGATCAAATGAAGTTTTTCAACCCAGGGCCAAAGACTTCAGATGAGGTCTTATAATATACAAACGGGATCACTTGAAATATCTAATTAAGCCAGCAAATGTGCACTATAAAATCCTTTATGGTGCACACTAACAGCTTGCTGTGAAACTACATTCAGTTTTCTTCATTCTTTGCGCAAAAACCATTTGATTGCTGTTAATGCCTGTGAGGTAAAAAAAAAAAAAACTTAACCGCAGTTACAGTTTTTACAGTATAAAGTTGTAGGTTTCTTTGGCAATCACAGACTCATTGGAATATAAATGCTTGAATCCAATAATTTAGAAAGCCAGCCAGGATGCTGTTGTAATGTAACAGGCTAGAGCAGATATGTCAAACTCATTTCACATCATGTGCCATACACCAATGAAAGTACATAAACTTGTACAGTTACAGAAAATGCTCTGGTAGTTTATTGCTCAGACTGTCCCGTAATGGTAAATTTTGAATATAAAGTTTTCATTAACTGAGAGAAAATATCCTTGTACTTTGGTGTAGTATGACTGGGAATAGAGGTGGAGGTCTTTATCTGTAGGAAAAGCTGTAAAACCTGTTAAAATACAGTTAAAAGTTCGATCTCTAATTCACATCTTCTAAAGCTGTCTGGTGGACTGGATTGGAGTC